AGGAGGTGGGCTGCGTGGTGGAGGAGTGGTATGTCGTTATTGTTTCTGTTGTGGTCTGTGTTTGTCTTTGGGATTGTGTTGTTGATTGTGTTGTAATTCTTGTATGAATATATCCTGTTTCTGGGGGAGGTGTTGATATTGTAGATACCTTATGTTTCGTCTGTAAATATGGTGTTGTTGATACTTCTACGGATGATGTAGTTGATGTTTTTGAAATAATGGGAGTAGTTGCTGTCTCTTGTGTAGTTCTTTTTGGTGTTGTAGTTGTTCGACACGGTACTGTCGTATTTGTACAGCATTTAAATCTTAGTTTATAGTTATAGCAAATGGGTGGTAGTTGGTCTTTATTGTAGCATTTCAACCCTTCTTCCGTGTTACATGTTATATGTTGTTCCAGGAGGGGATATGGTGTATTAGGGAACCTTACTGCTCTGCATTCAATTGCCTTTCTGTTATCGCAGACTTTGTATCCCTTCTTTTCAATATTCTGAATTGTGTCAAAATCTCCATCTTCATATCCAGACCCTGGATAACTGACATCATACCACACTGACCAGTAACATTCTTCTTTAATACAAAGAGGAGTTGTTGAAGGAGAAGTGGTGACAGGTGTTGTCATTTCACTTGTGAGTGTGGTTGTTTCTCTAGTTGCTGAAGGTGCGAAAGTTGTGCTTTCAGAAGTTGGAGTAACTGATGATAGAGTGGTTGAAAATGGTATAGTTTCTTCAGCTGGACTTGATGTTTCTGTGCTTGTAGCTGGTGGTGTGATTGGTGTTGACATGCTGAAACGTGTTGTAGAAGAACATGGAACAAATCGACAGCATAAGATTCTGATTTCGTAATTGTCACACATTGTTGAAATTTGATCTTTGTTGTAACATATAAGCCCAGCTGTTGTACTACATTCTACTTTTTGGCCAAGGTCTTTTAGTGGTATAGTGGGGAATTTCTCTGCTCTGCATTGAACAGCCCGTGGAGCCTTACAGACTTCATAACCTTTAGCTCTCAAATCGTCAAACGTTTCAAAATCTCCACCATCATAACCAGGGGTTTGCAGACTCCCATCATACCATTCTGACCACTCACATACTTCATGAACACATACTGATGTAGTTGGAGACACTGTGAAAGAGATAAAGAAGAGACTTCAAAACTTAGAATAAAATTCTGCAGATATTCTCTTTTTCATTATGTGAAATAGGCTGAAATTTTTCTTCAGGTAATTTGCTTGCATTGTGAACCTGCAGCGTATCAATTTAGTGTACTTATAATTTTATACGAAGTAGAACAGAAAATCCATCACCCAGCAATTTAATGTACTGATGTGCTTGGAACTGTCACTTCCTAAGAGATTGCTAATTATCTTTTACAAATCATGTTGAAATAACTCTCAGGCAGAATTTACATACATTGATTTGAATCCCTTTGATTCAGCGTAATTGCTTGGTTTGCTCTCTGGTCTGTCAAAGCCCCATCAAATCCAGCAGAAATAACACTTATTCTATGCATCAAGATAAATAGGTACTTTTTTCTTCCAAATGACGTGACTCCTCATGCAATACGCTGCATTGTCTTTGGTCCTCCATTTGGAGAAAAAGATGTCTAGTGCAGCATTATTAACTTAAGAAACCATCTATTGGTTTGGAGAGCAGTCTGTAAGCTTTTGCAGGTGAATTCTTACTGTGAAATGGCTGGAAAATGGCTAATGAATTCCAGCAGTGCTGATGGTTTCTGAATGCTTTCAAAACTTCTAGTTCTAAATTTTATACTGAATACTTATTTCATTAAATAGCATATGCCCATAGTAATTTGAGATTACCGACCTGAAAAATGCTGAACAGGAATTCTAAATATAAAAATTTCAGTATCTCAATGCCAATATCTGAGCAATCTACTTAGTACTTTAATTATAAATACCATGAACCCTACCAGGAATTTTACAGAAAGTAGTAATTCCGTAATTTAATAGGAAAAATAATTAATTACTCATTCAGTAACAATTATTCCAGGTATAGAAATAGTTACAATTACAGGTAATGTCTTTTTATTGTTCACAATGAAGATAAGCAAAATAATAGTATGAAGCCAGTGTGCAGTGGTTTCCATTGTGCTGTTTCAAAAGTGGTTTTACTTTCTAAGTTTATTTCCTTGTATTAGTTTGATTACCAAATACTGACTGAAACCAAATGCTAATAACAAATGAGACTTAGTGTTATTTATTTTGAGGTTGTATTAATTCATTTATGTTGTGAGTGTGAGTGTGGGTTTGTAGCTGTATGTTAGTCACTATTAATAGAATGTATTCTTACGAACTATAAAGGATGTACCTGTGAAAGCAGTGGCAGGTGGCGTAGTGCTGAAGTGAAATGTTGTTGCTGTTGTGGGTGATGTTGAGATTGGACATTCATAGACAGCCCTTTGAAGTGTTCCATTTGGACCACAGGTTGCGACAATACACCCTCCTGTGCCATCTGTAGTATTGTAGATCACATCTTTATAACTGTATTTCTGTCCTTCATAAATGCAGACACATTCTGTGAATCAAAAGACAGTGTTATTCCTTGGTATCTGAAACACAGAGCAGAGTACCTCGAATGCATCCTATTCAGATAAAATCAATTTTGTCAACATACCATCTTCATTGTACTTGCATTTTTTGCCATGATTTGTGCATTCACTGGAAAAGAGAAAAAGGGAGGTGATGAATGTAAATATTTTGCTTCATGACATAATTTTATTGTTTCAATTTTTTCTACTGGTCCTTTACTATTCATTGTATTTATATGTAGAAAGACTGTATCTTCTCTGAGTTAGATATTGAGTTCTGCTGTACAAATTCAGGTTAGGTAGGATTATTCAGTTTTCTGGTAAAAAAAGCAACTCTTTCATGCCAGCATACTAAAAATGCAGTATCCTTACTGGTGCTTTTGAGGGGTGGGTGAAGATGTGGGGAGGGGTGGTTTGAAATGTTCTTATCTCCCTGATTGATAGGTATATTTTTTGGAAGGGAAAGTGCAGTAAATGTATCATTTGAGAAAGGGTATCTGTATCATGGATGTTGAGGTTGTCTACGCAGTGATTTCCAAAAGATGCAAGAATGCATTCTGGTTTTCAGGGGAATTTATCTATTATCTGTTAAGAAACTAAATCTTGATATATTTATTTGTAGTGACTATGGGCATATGTACACTAGATAAACTTAAGTAAATATAGGTATGTATTTATCAGGTTAGGTTTAGTGCTGTTAATGACATTGACAATGCAGACAAAGCTGTCTATGAACTGCAAAACATACCATGATATTTGGGTTAGCTCAGATGGGCTTCATGATAAGCTATTTGTTATTCTAACTGGACAGCTTACAGTATTCAGGTGTAGCTATTTTAAAGCTGTCTTTAGGACAGGTGTTAACTGCTTCACAACTGATTCTGCTAGCTTTGTGTTATTTGATAGAAGGCTTAGCAGCATTTGTCCCAGCATATCATCATTTCTGACAGAATGTGTGAGAATACTTGCTGACTGTTATTAATATGCAAGTACCAGTGCAATAACAGAAACACGCTCAAAATAATGAAGACTAGTTGCCTTCTAAATAATTTCACATAATGATTTTCAGGATATTTTAATAAAAATGTTCAGACTGTTGCCATAACTGTTATTATTTAAATTTGGTTTAAGTTAATTTAATAATTATAATAATAATTTAAAAGTACTTTAATAAGAATACAGAAAAATTAGTAAATTAAATTCTCTATAGTAAAATATTTCAGGATGTTATCAATTAAACAAAAGAAAATTAGACATTATTCAGTAGCCTATGCCTGGCCTAGTTCCTGTTGGCAAACAAAAAAGTGCATGATGAATTATGTTCCAAACCTTTAAACTAAATGTTTAAAATCTTCACTAATCCTACCATAAATGACAATTCTGCTTTGAAGGCATCTGCATTCCTGGTTTGTAATTTTTCCCATTTTCATAACAACCACAATTAGAAACACAGGTCATGGTTTCTTCATCAAAATAGGGCTTATTCTTTGGACAGTGTGGATAGCAGCCTGCAATAAAAAAATGAGACATTGACGCTAGACCTTTCACAAGTAGAACTCTATACTTTGCTTATATTTGCTTTTCCCAAATTAATCCTATGGTAATGGAATTTCAGACTTTGTTACTGCTATTCCTTTCATTGCACATTAAGATTTGGAGTATTTTGTCCTCGTTTCCACTCCAAACAAGTTCATGATCCATTAGGCAGTAAGATACTACTTAGAAAATCTCTTCTTACAATTTCTAATATAAACATGTCATATACTGAGTAACTGAGTATAAATTTTGTCAATCAGATTGCATTTTAGCTTTTTATAAGTAGGATGAGATATGCATAATTATGTTTACCTTCCAAGCCTCTCAACTCATGAAGGCAATTCCCACTTGGGTTATTGCAGGTTTTCATACAAGGGGCTCCACATGGCTTGTAGTGCCACTCACATTCCCCTTGTGGATTGTAGTAATCACAGAACAGAGCTAGAGGAAGGAGAAATGATAGAAGAACTTTGATCTTTTTGTTCTACAGTCTTTCTGTTTTGCTGGGTAAAAATCTCATGTGTTCAGCATAATCACATAGGTGGTGAACAGTATATTGTCTTACTTCTAATTTAACACAATTGTTACACTTCTCCCACATTTTGACTCCAGTAGTTACAAAGCATGGAACAGAGTTACACATTAATCCTGAAAAATCAATTGTTTATGAATCATCAATTTTAGCTAGTATGCATTAATAGTGATTTACACTAACCCTCATGTAGACAGGTGGAAGTGTAGATAATATTATAATTCACCAGTTGCGTATGATGATCGACAAATAAATCAGACACTAGTGACACCACTGGTAAAGTTACTATCAATGGTTTCATTTTAAGAAGATAGACTAGCTTCCAGTGATTTACCCAATGTGCTTTGTGGGGGGGGTTTCTGCTTTTTTAGAATACAGTGGTGCCTCGTACAAATACAATTTTATCCTTCTTTCTGTCTTTATTCTACTTGTATTTCTTTTTTCCTTCTCTGTTTTCTTTTTCTCTGGACCCCTTCAAAAAATAGTAGGGTGAAACTCACGACAAATGGATGGGGTTCTCCATGAAATGCAGATGTCCAGCTCATTGCATGCTTGAGCATAGGCAGCTACTGCTGTACAGAAACATTCACAGTCTCCTCCAGTGTCACAGGCACAAGCATCATCTATGCATGCTTCATAAAATTCATTTGGTTCAACCTGTTGGAGAAAACATTTGAGTTTTCATGCACTTGTCCTCTTGAAAAGGCATTCACTGCTATGAAAAAGGTGAATAAAATATCTGAATCTGATGACTCTGTATGTGTGAGAAAGATAGGAAAGGAAGAAACCATGAGAATGTTTTGAAAAATTAAAAGGAAAATGTAGAATAAAGCTATTACTAGTAAGTCATAATGCAAAGAACTATTTGATGTTGAAGATACGTTTGCAGAAATAGTACTGTTACATTACTACAAACTAGCACACAGTCATATATATCAGGTGGCTGATATCTATAGTACTAGAAAATGATGCCGTTTGAAAATAAACATATCCCAAGATTTATCTGTGATTGTCCCTTCTATTAAAAACCCAACTATCAATTTCTTTAGTGTACTAATTCAAGACAAGTTGTCAAGCATGATAGAGTGCATTTTAATGTATTTTTCAGGTGTCTCACGTAAAAATTAATGTAATCTCTTGCACAAGAGAATTTAAGACTTAAGTTTTAGTCATACCTGTGAGTGACACTTTGCAAACACTTCACTAGTAATGATACTGCATTGCTTCTGTGCCCAGGCTTTCCTGTATGGGTTTGCAGTACATGGATCCTTGGTACGATTGGCATTTGGGCAACTAGAAGACACTTTCCAGCTGTTGGCGAACTCCAGCACATTTCCTACCACAGACTGACTGCGAGTAGTGAAGTCATTATTTCCATTGCCATCATAGTTTCCGCAAAGTCCACAGACATGTCCCTGCATGGGGATAAACAAAAATTATAAAGGTCAATAAGGTACAGTTTCTCAGTACCTGTGAGTAACAGACCTCAGGATGAATATTACTTAAGTTTATCTAGGTGTCTCTAGCAGCAGTGTTGGACATTTTATTGAAATATCTTCCATGAAGAGATGTCTCTAACTTCTTGTTAGGAAGGATAAGAATAGGAAGCAGACTCATGGTTTTTGTTCTTAGCACTCAGGTAACTAGTTTTATCTAATGCTGAATATGTCTTTTCAGTGAGGGATTTTCATGAAGAAAGCTACTTTTGTAGTTGCTGTTGTGTCATTGCTGAATAATATAATTTAAGGAAAACGTGTAATACACAATCTAAGACAACACTACAGGGACAGTAATATGCAATTTCTGCTCCTTCAGTCTTCTGGTTACAGCCTAGATTTCCAGTTTTTTTCTTTGACAGATAACATGAATATGTTCTAGAAATAATTTTATCCAGGTTTTGGATTTTAAAATGTACCTCAAAGCTGGGACTAAGTTTGATGAATATACTGGTTTTTCTGTCCCACATGAGTATCAGACCAACAGTAGTGTCAACCACCAGGTAGATGCCCATGGAACGGATTTGGAATGGCATTTTTCCTCCAGGTGTCCTCTGGATGACATCAGAGTATCCATCACTGAGTACCAGCTCATAGTTCTACAACAGGAAAAGATAGAGGCCAATTAAAAAAGTCACCTATTAGGTTATATGTTTAAATATTGCCAGTAACTGTTCTTGAAATAATAACTCTATTATCATCAAAATTATTCTATTCAACAACCTCACATTAAGCAATTCTTCTTTAGAATTCCCTCATTTGCTGTTTCTAGCAAAGAGCAGAACAGTTAGCAGTGAGCAAGAAAGTGTACTAACATTTTCACTGTCTTGAAGGACACTTCTATGATGCAGTCTGTCTGGGACAGCTTGTTCTATCCTTCTGGATCATTGGGCCACAATTTATTAAAGAAAATGCTTACCCCCAGGAAAACTTTAATAGACTTGGAGCAGGTGGTTCCGGTAGTACCACATGGAATGTTCTCAGTGATGACTCTGAAGGTTCCCTGATTCATACCTTGTTGACCACAATAGTTCTGAAACAGAATTATATTCAGTGTTAACTATGCTACATGATCATATGTAAAATACAAGGTACTTCGATAGTGCAAAAATCTGGGAAGGACTCTGTTACCTGGATCAGAACATATTCACAGTCTCCTTCAAAATCAAAGCGTTTGCCATCAAAGGTGGTGTAATGCCCATCTCCATAAACAGAACAGGTTTCCAGGCAAGGTTCATCAGAGCAGTGCCATTTTCTGTTTCTACATGTGCTACATAAGACAAAAAGCACTCCAAATGTAAAAACCAGACATAGATAAAATACAGCTTTTATGTACATTCCTGCAAGTACATAAATCTGATTTTAAAATGCATTAAGCCCATAATGAAAAAATAAGGTTTGCTCATTCTCAGAAATGCAGCACAGCTCAAGACCTTTTGGGATTTATCCAAAGACTGTGCTACTTCATGATGTCATGAATAATTTGAGTTAGAAGATATTTTAAATATTGTTGCATGTATTGAAATGTAGAGATTGCCTGTGAGGAAAAAAGCTTTCTTGACTTGAATGTATATGGCAGCATCCAAACCATACTGTTCTTCTGACCACTTAGAACTTACGTGCTCTGTACGGTTATGAAAAACAGAGCTTGCTTTTTAGTTAGTAAGTGGACCATCTTATGCAGGATTCCTTCTTGATATCAAGCAGATCTTGATACTGCTAGAGTGAAATGTTGTAATTCACCTAAAGTTTAAACTACTCTCAGATGCTTAAAATAATTTATTTTTCTGTATGCTCTTACCAGTTGTTACAGCCAACTCTGATTGATTCTCCTGGAGTGTAGGAATTCCCATTGTGAACACATGGACAGTCCTCTGGTTCTATACAGCCACCTTTGCCATCTAACACTTGATTATGAGGACATACGCAGCCAGAGACACAGTGCATTCTGTACTGTAAGGACCATATAGAAAACATGACTTGAAACATTTCTTGTTGGAATAGTTTAGCTGTAGCTGGTAATTGTAGAAGAAATCTAGTTTAATATGCTTTTAACTGGGTATAAAGAGTCTATACTTACACATTCCATATCTAGAGTCTGACAGCTTTTTTGGCATCCTGCTCCTATCACATCTGCAGTGGCATTGCCACAGTCAATATAGACCATGGGAGGTAAGCAGACTGAAAAAGATGAAAGCCATGAGAAATGTGAGATCAGCCATGTATTTATATCTTTGTGGTTCTTTAATGCAGACTGAAGAAAATAATAAAAAGGACTCCTTTGTGAGATACATGTATCTTAAAATAACGCATTTCACCAGAAAGAGAAACCGGGTACTTTTTTGAAGTCATGCTCAACTGGTTTTGTGCTTATGCTTGGACTACTCGTAGATATCATTGCTTAGTTATCTTTGTGAAACACTTGATTTCAGAAAAATAAATAAGTAAATAAGTACCAACCAAAAGAAACCCCAAAACAAAACAAAAACTACAAGAAAACAAAGATCTTGGTTTACTTTGTATTTGAGGGGGAGCTTTAAGTTATTTTATTTTGTTTAAAATATGGATGGTTTCTCTTCACATTCAGTAAGGTGACTGAGTATTCTTTTCCGCCGAGTAACGCAGGGGGTTAAACTTGTTTCAGGCATCTAAAAGGTATTTTGGGAATATCCTCTACATTATAGAAGTCAGTTTATTTTCTTGATTGATTTCAGACTTGTACAGTTTGCATCATCATGACAAAAAAGAGAGAACTGGAAAGGGTGAAGGTGGAAAGGGAGAATTAAAGGAAGTATTAAGTGATATGTCACCTGGTTCAGGTTTCTCTCCAATGCAGCTCAGCTTTCCATAGGTGCAAGTGCTTAAAAAAAAAAAAAAAAAAATTCATATATTTTTGCTTTTCCTTGTTAAGTTTCCACTTGTTTCCTAAATGAATTTGAAATAATGAAAAATTACTGTGTGATAGAGCAGAGAAAATGTGTCCTTTATCAGAATAGTTTCTATTGTTCAAAGGTATTTTATAGTAGAGCAGACCAAAATACAGGTATATTCTATAAAAAGATGGGTTTGCTCTTTCCATTTGCCATGTTAAGAGCTGTCCTTCAGAATAGTTCAGATTCCATTCATAATGGGAATAATCTGTAATGAGATTCTCAAGCATCTTTCACCATGGAACAAGTTTGCAGTCATGGGTAAGAAATGTGTGGTTGGGAGTGAGTGACTGATGACTGACTGGGTAGGAGTTTGGCTATTAGACAAGAATAACCCACCACAGCATGGTTTGTTGATTTCCTGTAGCAGTCTAAGTACAATTTTCTAAACATGAATAGCCCTAGCAGTTTTTAAGGATCTGTGATTTTTTTTTTTTATTGAAACTTCTAGGGAGAGAAATGCATTTGATTTGAATAGACTGCATAATGTATATATAGTTTCATGATTACCTATATCCAATCTCATTCTTTTGTTTACAAATCTCTTACCAGACAACACCATTGTCATGAATAACTTCTCCAGTAGACAGAGGCATTCCTTTGTAGTAACAAGGACAGCTAGAAGTAGGCACACATTTGCCACTTTCATCCATGTAGGTGCCATTTATGCAGGTGCAGCCATCAACTGTGACAAACTTGATGTTGCATGTGACATCAGGCTCACTCAGAGACCGGCAGGTGGGTTGACAGGAATTAACATTGTAAGTGTACTCCAAGGATTTCGGACATAAGGTGGTGTATTTTGCTTGGGAGTGAAAAAGTGAGTTATATTTGCCGTTAATTTATAAATCAGTGTAGGTATAAATGCAGTATTTGAGGTAAAGTATATATGATAAACATGGCAATGCTTCTACATGTGCTTTACTGATATCCTCAGAAGTGTAATTTTTTTTTTTTTTCTGCTAGAGCAGAATTTCCCCCTATAAATGTGTCACAAATACAAATGTTTTGTCCAGGTTAAAAAAAGAAAAAAGCTCAATTATGTTAATTTATACTGTGATTTTATTTCATTTCTATTTTTATACTTTTTGTCAAAGTAAATCAGAAACACCCTACTTATGCCTATTGCAAGGATATGGAGGTCCATGTTGCTTTTGCTGGTTCTGAGCACGTAATCTAACAAAGCCTCTTTTTTATATTGCTTACTGCTTGTCTTTTATGGTATTCTCTTCTTCCTTAAATTCTTGAAAATAGATGCTATACTGAAAACACAGTTTAACACAATTTACTGGGGGAATCCCTGAGAGCTGCTGTGTGGGACTTTCTGGATGACCATTTTTCAAGAGGAAAGGAAAGTAGAACTTACTGCAGGCTTTGCTCCTCCATCCAGTGAGGAGAACTCCTTTAGCAGCACAGGCCCTGACATAGCTGGACAGGGCAGCACACATGCAATCCTCACTCTTCTCACAGTTACAAGTGTCAAACATGCAGTTCTAGAGACAGAGAATGACATATGATCATCAGATTGTCATATCAAAACCATGGTGCTCTATACTTATTATACTGCCATGTTCGTTAGAGCTAAAAGTGAGTGTAAGCCATATTGCATAAGTAAACATATGCCTTTTTTCCATTTGAAGATTTCATTGAGCACTTTAAAAAGAGACTCTTTGTGAGGAGAGAGTAACTAGAGGTCCACAAATTTAAACTGGTTTTTTTTTCTTGTTATTTTTAAAATTTTTCAGGTGTTGATAGATTTTCCAACTTTGGGACTTAAGCTTAGATGCTTGGGCTCTCTGCCTCAGAGGAATGAAGAAAAGAAGAAGTAATTTAATGTGTTGCTATGCCAGGCAAGGTCACTAAAATATTGTCATTCCAGAAGATGTTTCTTAAATATAATCTTACAGATTACTAATAACAAGGAGACTTTGTAAAGTTCCCAGTCTGTTCCAAAGCTTCATCACCTTGAATTCCTTGAACATTTTTGTTGACATCTTATCTAAATCTTTTTGCTGCTTCTTGCATGTATTTCTTGCCTTGTCTTGGATATATGCAAAAGCTTTCTTAAAGCAGTTCAGAGCAACTAAGTGCTAGTTAAGATTCTGACTAAAGCTTTCCTTATATCTCAGGAGGGACAGCTTTTAACCTTTGACCTGGTAAGAAGTCCAGGGAGTTCAAGGTCATAGGTTAGGCATTTAGGTTAGTACCTAAATCCTGTTAAGTTTATCCTCCTGGGAATGGAAGGAAAGATACCTTTGCAAAGGAGTAGTTATGATGATGTTTAGATAAAAACAAACCCTTGGCTTGAAAAGAATTATCATGAATGCATCTCCTCCGAATTGGCAAGTTATTCTCTCAGGGGTTAATATCCAGAATCTGAGTCTTTTTCTTTTAAATGGGAAAAAGTTAAAGGCCAAGTACCTTCTGGTAAACTTCCGGATTCACTGTTGAGTGACATTCAGCAAAAGGTCCCATGGTATCAGAGAGCAGTCCACACCAGTGCTGAGCATACTGTTCTGTGAATCGAAAACATGATAAGAATTTCTGTTGTGCTTCATTGTCCAAACTTTTGTATCAATGTAACTGTACTTCCTGCAGGCAAATTGCAGAAGCTTAACTTTACAATGGGATTCAGCTCTGCATTTACTGAAATACAAACAGGCTTTCACTTCCTGTATACAGAAATACAAACTCTTTGTAAACTGAATGGTCTTAGTGCATGGTAGTTGTCATGGAATAAACTAAGACATGGTTAGCTGAATTTTGAAAAAGAGGTTCACGTTGTGAATTAAAAATATGCTAGTTCATCTCCGTAAACAGAAGAGTGGCTTGTGAATTCTCAAAAATTATGTATTTCGTTAGCTGAAATAGACTCTGAGAGGTACAAAGCTCTGAACTGTAAGTCTGGTTCTGAGTTTGACAGTGGAAGAATCATGCAGAGTGCAAACTTCAGTGGGAATATGCACAGATTTTTTTCCTATATGACAAACAGTCCTTTCCAGGAATGGATCACTGATATGCTGTATGGTTCCAGTTTCTCTTAAGTAAGCTGGCAAAAATACTTGCTTTCTTCATCCAAAGGAATATTTTTGAAGATCCATAATATTATCCTAGTTATTATTTATTAATTGAAAACTTCTAGTGTCAGTTGAGGAAAATAGCGTGCATGAAAATGGTACACTGTTATTCTGGCTAAGTGCTTGGTGATTGATCAGCTTGTTCCTTCTTCCCATCTTAGAAGAGAAGAGGAAATGTTTCTATATAGTGACCTTACCATTTTGTATGCTGACAGTACAGGGGTCCTCAAAGGTATTTTCAACATCAGGACAATTAGCCTGTGTTTTCCAAGTATTGCCAAAGACAGCTGAAGTACCCTCTATTACACCACTGGATATTTTGAAATCATCTGTCTGCATGTCATTGAAGTTACCACAGAGACCTAAAAGGAAGCAGATGGGTTGTGAAAGTCTCCTACAGAATTAAGCATACCGATGAAGGCAGTTGTTACGATAAGATCACTTACCACAGGTCTGCCCTTTATGTGATGGGTCTAAGTCTATAAAAAGTTGCATGAGAGGCACGAGCTGAACCTGTAGCTGAAGACCAAAGGTCGTTTGCAGAATGATGAAGAAAGATGATGGTCTGAAGATGGTGACATTTGCTAGGGTCATAAGAACAGATGAGTTATAATTTCATATGTGATGAGCAGTTGAAATAACTGTTCATTATGTAGAGAGATTCTATAGCTGTGTTTGATAGGATCTTAATATCTGAAGAAATGAGGGGAAAATTATACAGGATTCCAAATCCGGCACCAAAACAAGCTGTCTTTACTCTAAACAGCAAACATATTAAAACCCTCCGCTTTCTGCTAAGTGTTTAAAAATAAGGGGAAGAACACACACTTCTATTGCTATTTAAAAGACTCCAACCATGGTTTGCTTTCTGTTCAGGTGCAGTAGTACCTGAGAAGAACTGACATGGAAAGAACTCTCCAATGATGAATGTGCACCAAATAAAGGGATAGAGGGAACACAGGGAACTGAACAACTTGAGATATTGGAGTTCTTTTGAATACCAGAATTTTTCTTTCCTCTCTTACAGCAGTATTTGGATCTGGAAGTGTGCAGTGATACTATTTACTTGTACTGAACCTCCATTTAATTAGATATTGCTAAAATTATTCCAAAATTTTGCTTAAATTATAAGAGTTGAGTAAGCAAACCCTATTACTGTAAAAAATGAGAGACTAGAGTACCTTGAATTTGCTGCAGTGTAACCAAAGATAAAAATTTGCTTTAGTTTAACTGATGTAATAACATTTTAAAATCAAAACCAAGAAACACTACAGAAGTCTTTCAGAGGAACTTACCTGCAGAGAATGGCAGCTGTGTGTAGATCATGTTCACAAATACACTGCCAGAAGGCTGGATCACAATGTTCTGTCCACAAGAAAAGGCAATGGTTATCAAATATATTTAGGAAAGATAAATGTTTTCTACCTAGTATTGTTCAGAATAAAGGAAGAAAAAAAAAGTGGGGGAGACTGTGATGATGTTCTGATTCCTATACTCTTTCTCTGATCTTTGTTATTGTGGCCCTCTGACTGTCAAAATAAATAATCAAAAGCCCAGAGATAACTAAATGACAGAAAACTATTAGGATCTTGGATTCCAGTGTAGCTACTTTGTTCTTAATATTTCTTTGAATAATATACAAATGAGAAAAACCAAAAAAATCTGTGCAGATTTCCTGTCTGTGCTGTTGTGTGTCATTTGCAAACTACTTGTCTATTAAGCTTTGAAAACATCTCAGCAGAATGTTAGGTGCCTACATTTGCTACTTACAGTTTGTCCTCCACTTAGGCTGACAGTTACACCCTTTAGGCATGTCTCAGTGTCTGTCAGGCCACATTTGTAGATGTCTCCCAGAACAGTGAATTCATTGCTGTCACAGAGCTAGAAGAAGGTAACAAAATACGTTGTTGAAAGGATTTGTTAAATTAAAATACTGTTATATTGAAGAGGTTCACACTTAAATCGTGTTCTTAGTAAAATGATTCTTCAGACTCAGTTTACGTTTTATATTCCATTTCTTCCTGCCTATGTTTTTACACATACGTATACAGTCACCAAGTCATTATCCTTTGCTTCTGACATTCAAAGGCAAGCTAGACATATTAAGCTGAACATTAAAACTTGCTGTTGTTTAGGTAATACTAGTTTAATATGCTAGAGAAGGAAGCATGCCTTTCTTGCCCACTGGTTATGGTGTTTACCTGAGGGAGGAAAGAAATTGTTTCCTGTCTCTTCTGCACTGAATAAATTATCAAAGAACCTGGTAATTTGGACATTATTTTAACGGGTAGGAAATATGAATTTAAATATCCTCTCATAGGAAAAAATTGCGCTAAAATTACTATTCACTAAGCTACCAAATAAGGGCAAAAATTCAAATTTTTTCTCTCAGGTCTTATTTTCATAGGACTGTGACCTGCAAGCTATATTCAAAGTGTGCCTAATGGCCAAGATGTTACAGGGAAACATGCAGAAGGCTGTGATTCTCTAATGTGTCTTATCACTTTCATGGTGTAATGAAGATTAAATTGAGAACAGCTGAGATGCAGAATTAGAGCCATCTGGAAATTTAGTGTTAAAATTATGGGCTTCTTGACCTTTTGTGTCCAAATTTAGGATTTTTCTGTACCTCAACAGCCTCTGAGAATCTCATTTCACATGCTGGTGCCAAAAAGGGACTTTCATGTGTAAGCCTGATCTATGTTCCCATTGTGGATTGAGCCCAGTGCTTGTGAATCTCATCAGAAAGTTTCATTGCTTTAGTCTAATCTATTTTTAAATTACTTCATTCTAGCTTTTTTTTTTCTTTTAAACTCTAAGGTCTTCTATGTTTGCTGGTAAAGACTGTTTGGAAGGTTGATCATCTTAATGAAATAACTCTTCTCACATTAATTCTGTGTAATAATTCCATTACAAATACCATTAAAGAAATAAGCCATTGAGTTATATTGACTGTGACAAAAAGGGCAGTACCAATGGACATAATAAACGCATTACTCGGAAGTAGTTATAAAACACCAGACAGGAAATATCTAATTAAAAAATTGGTGAGACGCATGGAGATTGTTTCATGGAACCTAAAAACTCTGCAATTCTTAAATGATGATCACAGAACACAAAACTACTACAATATTTTTATTTAGTCATGTGATTGCCAGTTTTAATCAAAAAAGCATTATATATGATAAAATATTTTCCTTTAGCATATAACTTTAGCAAGGATTGTGACTCATTTTTACCTTGGTTAGGACATAACTACAGTCTCCGAAGAAGGAATAATATTTCTCATCAAATGTTGAGATGTGGGAGCCTCCTTCAATACTGCAAGTTCCATGGCATGACTGGGTGACACAAGACCATTCACCTCCAGCACAGGTACTGAAATGAAGAAGGCATTCAGTAACCTTGAATAATGCAAGTGTAAGTGAAATAAGAGACAAAAAGGACAACTGGTGCTTTAATTTTCCTCTTGAAGGATTGATCATACTGTGAAATAAACCAACATTGCTTTGAAATCTGCCTGTGGGGCAGGCACATTTATATTAATGATGATTTTTTATATATTGCTGTTCATTTCCAGTCTTTGTATAGAATTCAGTCCTGGTGAACCTGGCATCTATTCTGCTGCATATGAAGGATTGCCCCTCATCTCCATTAGCATGGCTCAGGCTTCAGACATGTTAAGTATTTCTTGAAATATAACATGCATGTTTGTGGTTCTTGTATTTGTAGATAGATAGGTAAATGTACCTACACTTAAGTGATAATACTTCGGTAATTATAGTGATACTGAAAAAACATGTATCTGTCAAACATGCCTCTCAAATGTCATCTCCCACCCTGCCTAATGCAATATATCCCTAAATGTCACAGCCTCCACAGTATTTCCATGAGCATCCTAGCATCACAGTTTAGTGCTACAAAGAATATAACACAGTAATTGACATTTTTAAACACCTCCAATATTTGAATTTGATTGTTTCTTTTAATTGATTGGTCTTGAAATTGGAGTGCCTATATCTAAACTCAAGTATCTGCTTCCAAGTGTTGGAGAAAACAGAGATGTAAGTATCTTTTAAAAATGTGTAATCATAGAATCATAGAATGGTTTGGGTTGGAAAGGACCTTAAGATCATCTAGTTCCAAGCCCCCTGCCATGGGCAGGGACGCCTCACACTAGACCATGTCGCCCAAGACTCTGTCCAACCTGGCCTTGAACACCGGCAGGGGGGGAGCATTTACCACTTCTTTGGGCAACCTGTTCCAGTGCCTCACCACCCTCACTGTAAAGAACTTCAGCTGATAAGTAGTTCCTCATTTATTTTTAAAGGGAAATTGGCAATTTTTCCCTGTCTTCAAAAAGTTCAGGTAATGCATCTATAAAAAAGAAGTATGAGAAAGGGAGTATGTTACCATGATCTGCATTTAGATGAGAAGGAGACACCAGGAGCATAAGTTTCACCTTCATAGGTACAATGACATTCTTTACGGGGAATGCAGCCAGCACCATTAATATCATCAAATACCATTCCTAGGGAACGAAATAGTCTGTTATTCATACTTTCCACTTCAGAGCCTGTATCTGTCTGTATGTCTGAAAGCATACATTCAATTTCTTCTGTATTGCACAGAAAAGTGAATAGAAAATACTTTAAAATAATAGGATGCAAACTATGTAGGTATTGAAGAGTTCTATTCCATTGAAGCCTATCTGAAATCTTTAAGTGATCAAAAGAGACCTGTGGGGAAATACCTTTCTGTTATGGGATTCATTAGAATGGAATTAGGATTAAAATTGCTAGATAATGAGGTGGAATAGATGAACCATTTGTAAGATTGCCCAAGGACATATGTAACAGTACATATACTGTTTGTACAGTAAACAGTTTTATACCCAAAGGCAGAGGATTACCTAAGAGAAGTCAATGCAATTATACAAAAAAAGTGATGGTGGATTCTGCAAGACATTATGAAAGATGGGCAGAAGAGCTGCAAGGGGTGAAGATCCTACCATGGAATCACTCACAACAGCAACAATTCTCAGCCCCAGAAGTAAGTGTGCACATTTTTGCATCGTTTATCTTGTACTGATACTCAGTTCTCGTGCATAATTCTCTGAAGTGCCTGATTTTACACACTGCCTAGTGCTCTCTCAGCTCCTTGTTTAGACATGAAGCACTGGACAGAAAGGGTTTGGTAATTTGGGAAACCAGACACAGCATTTTAACACCAGGAGTTATCATTGTGGGTAAAATGTGATTATGTATTACTTACTTTCTGTGAACTGAATAGGGATGCTGAGAATAAAAGACATGCCCTTATTGTTAGGGATGAAACATCTTATTCTCAGTTCAGTCATTATGTACATGTCTCAGGCATGTTTATCATTTAAAAGGGTACTTTTAGTAATCTGAATAGAAATGGTGCTTGTGTATCAGGGAAGAAATGTAGTTATTAGTTTGATGATAATAACAATGGTGATGTGATGAGAATGACAGAGTAGGAAAGCTGTTAAACGTGTACAGGTGTTATGGTGGTTCTGCTTATGAGAAAAGGGCAGGAAATAAGCTTGCCTGGAGGACAGACGCAGCCATCTGTACAGTGATCTTCACAAAGCGCAGATCGTTCCGGGTTGCTGCATGTGTCAGAGCAGGGGGAGCCACACTCCTGATATTGCATGTTGAACGGACATGATTTGGCTGAAAGTAGAAAAAGTATTATAATGCCAACTTTTCCTTTGAAACGTTGAGAAAACAGTATTTGTAATTTGGGTTGTTTTCTGTGAAAATATAAAGGGGAATCCTGATCCAAGTGGAGGCTGCAACATCTCAGACTTTCTGATATATATTGAAAACCCTTAATAATGCAAAATACTCTAAACTTCCCTATTTCTAAAGTCTTCAGGTTAAAGCTGGTATAATGAAAATTACATACATCTTTAAATGGTGGGCTTCTTTGTAAAAAAAAAAAATCACATCTTTGAAGGTTACTAGATACGGGTAGTAAGCACAAGTGAAAGTCCCTTCCCAAGATACTTACGACACAGTTCTGAGGTTCTCCAGTTCAGAGGCTGTCCACCTGCATGAGCACACTGCCGGGAGTATTCAGCAAAGGTGTTGCACATGCAGAAGTCAGCCATAGAGCTGTCACAGTGGCATAAGTCTTGTACGCAAGTTTCAATATAGTCCTGAACATTCACAAGTGCATTACAGCTTGTAAATGCTGTACTGGTTAATACTGTCTCACAGATAGAAGCCTAGAAGTGAAAATAAAGTAAAACAAGTGTTGAGAAAATATGAAACTAATTGTTAAGGCCTGTAGCAGAACAAACAAAAGTTTCATCTGGTCCAAAACCTGTCCAACAGTAGCTGTAGGCAGATGCTTAAGAAAAAGTCTAACGATAGAGCAAGTACATGTAGAACTGCTTTGATTAACTCCCATATCTTCCCATATCTTGAGCTCAGGTGATTTCCCAAGCATTATACAGTTTCTTTATATTAAGACATCCTCAATGAATTTCTCTTTCATGAAAATATCCAGTCTTCTCTGAAGAGTAAGGAAACTTTTTAGCATTCACTTTAGCAAAGAATAAAAAATTAAATTTAGAAAAATTTTCTCTCTGGACCTACAGTTGAGTCATATTCATGTTATATTTTTTCCAGTTCCAACAAATTTTCTCCAAAGACAGAAAGAATGTATTTTATACTAAGAAAACAGATTTTGAGAGAGGGCTTCTTACAAATTCAGCTGAGCAGTTCATTAGAACAGCAGAAGGAACAGGATCAGCACACTGCTCTGTGGGTCCATCAATCTTCTGTCTATTCCCAAACTGTATGGGAGTCAGCTTTGTCTCTGTAAAAAGCAGTCCAAATATTAGAATACTATTTACTTTTTTTATTGGCTTTTGCATGGAGATATTTTCTTTTGTGACACTACCAGCTATGACATGAACAGTGATTACCAAATAATATCACTATAATATGAAAGGTGAAAGGGGGTGAATAAGTTATACAAGGAACTGGATCCTAACTACTGAAAACACATAAAAAGTTACATGTGGCAGGTCTTACAAGATTTAAGTGATGGAAGTGATCTAATGCATTTCAAAGTCCTGACATCATAGAAATACATAAAGAAGTATCACTAATTTTGCCATCAATACAATCCACAACTATGTTAAAGTATACTGCTAAAAGAAAGAAAAACAGAGCATCAACACTTAATGCTTTTTGTTACTTACTCTCTGAAATAAATTCATTGCTGACTGGAATTCCATTGAAGTCCCCACAAAGTCCACAAGTTTGATTGGCATATTTCTTATCTAGTTCCACCTAAAAGAAATGAGGAAAGAACTTAAGTTCATAGTAATGTCAGCCTTGATTTTTAGGAACACAGCCTACATCAATATTGCTTATGTACTGAAAAGTTGACATATGTATTCTGTGCAGACTGTGTTGTGTGGTTGTTGGGTGCTAACAAGGTAGGCACCACTGGAAAGGTCAGTGTCCGCCAAGAAAAACTCAGTCTTATCCTAGCCCTGGGGCTATGAACGTCAGCACGTTGCCAGTTCTGCAATCAGAGGAGTACTTCACTGTGATGTGGGAATGTTAGCATTGGAGGTCTATTCACAGAATCAACTTAAGATCATCAAGTCCAACCATTGCCCCAGGACTTCCAAGTCCACCACTACACCATGTCACTAGGGGCCTTGTTTTGATCCTGAGCTGAGCTTGGTGAGGGGAAAAAAAAAGGGAAATTGGGAGAAGACTGGAAGACAGAGCAATACACTAAAAATGGACACAAATCCCAAAGTAACTAATGCCTGTCTGGCTGATTAAGACTGCAAAGATGTAAATAGCCTATTTTCAAAATACAGGCCTTCTGCCAAATTTTGGATGTTCTCTTACCAGAAGGGCATCCTCTTCATTCCAAAGGAAGGTCAGTCCTATCTTGGCAGAAACTTTCAAATAGCTGTTACTTCTCTCTATTAGGACTCCCATATGGCTGTAGGGCATCTGAACCCTGTGGAAAGATCACTGTAATTCAGCTGAGGTAGTGCCAGAATATACACTGAATATCCACACTGATATCCTTTGTCATTCATTTTGAGAAGGTTTGACATGCATAGGTGAGAAAATTAGAGCAGTAACTAAACACAGACAGCACAAGTGTGTAGTGTTTTGTCTGTTTCCTATGCAATTGTTTCTCATTGTGCAAATGGACCAGTCTTGCTTTCCCTGCTGTTCCTTCTGGCGATCTCTGTTAATGGTGTTTTGCTAGGTAAAATGTTGGCATGTCTCTTTAGTTGTATTGATCAGAAAACTGCAGGGAGGTTCTATTTGGCAGGCAGTATGCCTCACAGTATTGCTATTTACTCCTTAAAACCCTAGATAATAAAGGGATGGACTCTTTAGGCTTTCTGTGACATGAGTGCCATTCACCAAGGTGTACCAAGATAACCTTTAGGCTGGCTCACTGTAATAGCTGCTATTATACACAACTCGTTGTGGGATATCTGCCCAAAGATTGACCCAGCCTCTTGGGCAGGTTTCACGCCATGTGCCAAAGTCAGTGCTACCGTTGCTACATAGATAGCAAATTTTCAGAGAGGCTTATTTTAAATGAGTGAAGGTATGAGCTGCAGTCACTACTTAACTGCATATTGTTCAGTGCAAGGACGAAAGCCATCAAAAATTCCTCTTAAGGATCCTGTTCTGGTAGAAATAATGTGAAGTGGAAACTAAAGAGTGTAAAAACCTAACACTTTGACTGAATCCAGTTTATAGACTCAATTGTAAACATACATTATTGTAGCAGTGGGGCAGCATCTGGGATATAGCTCATCTGAACAAACTGAACACAGGGATAATCTTCAGAAGTAGCAATTAGCTTAGACAGGTACTCTTATTTTTGTTGATAATTCAAGACAGACCTGAGCCCACCAGCTGCTTGGGGAGAATGTGAGATCAGAGGGGGGAAAGGGGTGCTCACTCAAAGAGCCCACTGGGAGCAAGAACAATGATGGCAGTTTGAAATTATGAACATACGGTTGGCCATCAAGCAGGACAGAGCCGTGTGTCAGTTCAATCACTGCTCCTTCCAGCTTCATAATGACATGAGTGATCACGGTAGCATTTTCCACCATTGTACGCCTAATCTGGATGTTGAAGTCCTCATAGGGAGATTTGCAGTTGGAAGCAAAGATGTAATTGCAGACCCCAGGGAAGTAAAAGATGTCCCCGTCAAAGGTCTTGAAGTGGAAGTTACCCCATGTGCTGCACACACGGCCATTGTGAGAGGGGTTGCCAGCTGTGGATTCAAAATAAGCAGTAAGATTTTTCTGTAATTTGCTGTAGAAATGCTCCCTTTAGTTGCTTTTCCCCTTCTATTTCTTTCACTAGCCTCTGTCCAAAAGCCTATCTTTTGTTTTCTTTCTTGTAGAACTCTTTGTTTATCAATCTGTTATTTATTTAGTTCAGTATAGGGCCTAAGACCAGAAGAGACCTCCTGGGTCGCTGTGCCCAGTGCTCTGGTTCTGCTGACAGCAATATTCTATAAATCCCTTCCTAAATTTATGAAATTCTAAAGTTTCACCATAAAACCAGTTTAAATTTAGTTTAAAACTAGATGGTACTCCTACTAGGGAAGGCCGCTCATAGCCACACTCATTAAATGGCTGGAAGACTTTTGCCAGCATCTTCCAAAACACATTCCTGTCTCATGTATGCCTGGTTGTTCTTCTGCCAGTATTACACTTCACCTTGAAGGGGTTCCACCTCACTGCTCCTCCCCCCACTCACTATATGAGTCACTTATCTCTTTTCAGTCCTTATTTCCTTATGAGCAGGCTCTCCTATCTTCCTGATTATCCTCACAGTCCCTCTCTGCATCCTTTCAGATTTAGACTCGCCCTGCTTCAACATGGCTAGTCAGAATTGTACACTATACCCTAAATAAGGTGTCTCACCAGTCTTTTGAACATATGAATAGTTCCCTCTCTTTAATGGAAGTACGGTGTGTGATTTATCCAAGTATTATATTAAGATACGTATAATTTTTTTTTAACAGCTGCATCATACTAACAAAATGTAGGCTGAGTACTGGAGTCACATTTAGATTATCCTTGTTAACTTGATATTCTTGTTAACCTGATAAACTGACTACTTTTCATGTTCATTTTTTATTCTATTATGCTAAAGGATCTTACACAATTTATTAATTTCTTCAGTCACTCCACGATCACCTGTGTGAATATCTGAACCATGGCAGATTGTTTAACTTACCCTTTAATCTCAATGTGTTTTGAAATGGTGGAATGATTGTCACTTCTTGGGATTTTGAAGCTGGTGGAAAATCTAAGGGAGAAAAAGTTATTAAGTTTAATCTTAATAGAAATAGTACAAACTTAATTACCTAGTCTCTTAGTGATTAACATTTCCTAGTACTAGTTATACTATAGGCGTAAGTTTCTACAAAGTTTTAATGATTGTTTTTATGTAGTGCTTTTTGTTCTGTCTTTCTGTATATTTGACTAACAACCAAATGCCAAAGACAATGCTCTTTGGCTGTAGTACTTGCTTCCATCGTTTGTCCAAGACTCACATCTGATTCTGGCTCTGATGTTCTGAACTCAAAAGCAGCAATCTGATCCTTAAAGCACAGTGTTCAGCAATGCAGAAAAAGTGGTGCTAATGTGTATGTCTGAACCTTTGCCTCTCAGTACACCTAGGAGCAGAAAGTTACTGAAGAATATTAGAAGCTGAGGATGAGAAGTAGGAGCTGGTATTTTACGAAGCTTTTATCTTTCTTTGTGCTGCGACATATATGTTTGCATAACCAATTCTAAGCAGATTTTTTTTTTTTTGAAAAAAGCAGTTTAAATTCTGAGAAATTTTTATCATGTGCTTTTCATGCAAAGACTTCTATTGATAGGATCCAGCCCTAAATTTTCTATGTCCAAATCCAATGTTTTCTCTTTGGATCCAGTAATGAAAGGGATAGGATACTTAGAGAACCTGCAATGTGATTTTCTTAACATGAGAGTCTGAGGAATTGATGCGGATTCTCCCTTGAAAATATCAAAATCACAGAATCTGATGACTTCCAAACTGTAGATTGTGCAACATCAGTCACTGTATTTGAAACAAAAAGTAGCACTAAGACAAATACGTGTTTTAGAAGGACAATCTCATTTAATCTTGATGTAAGGATTTTAAGAGGAAGTGCAAATATTACCTTCCTTGGCAATCTGTTCCAATAATTAAATGTACTCACTATTAAATAATTTGTGGTACACTTCCAGTTTGGGTTTATCACTATTTTAGTTGCCAGGTGGTGACCTCACAAGTTACAGATTGCAGAGCAGTCTTAATCATTAATTAATTCAGCCTGCCACCACTAATATACCAGTCAGCATTGTATCCTTCCATCCTTACATTGCTGTGTACAGTTATGGTGTTTGCTCTGTAAAGTTATGTGTCATGGATGATCTTGTAGTGGTGAATTATTCTAATGCTTAAGGTAGTTGCAGTTTTTTTATTCTCCCATGAGTAATGCAGTCATGTTGTCACAGCATAAAACGTATCTTTTTTACCTACTAGACAAGTACCTCGGTGATACGTATGTATATACACACCTCTTTTGATAATACACTTTTAGATAGAAAGTATGTACTTTTCATGAAGTTAAAGCTTAGATAACTGTATTGTATCAGTATCCTATATCCACTGGGCCAGATCTCAGAGGAAGTTCTCCAGTTCAGAGTAGTCAGAGATTGGCTGGGAATTGGATATATTGTACAGAGAATATCTCTCCTCTCTCCTTTTTTTATTAGAGGGAGTTGGGGCAGGGGGAAGAAGGGAAAGTATGTTCTAGCTAGGAATAAGAAGATTCTAGTAATCTTATTATTTCTCAATTTCATCTGGGACAAAATCTTAGAAGGAGATCAGCATGATAATACTTACTTTTTTGTCTCTGCAGGATGGATGGAGAAACATAGGTTGATTTTGTTTGTTGTTCATCATCCTGGGCTTGAACTACATCAAGGAGAATGTAGGAGGAAAATGTTAATGTATTATTTTCTTGAGTTCCCTCATCATTTCTCAGTTATATCTGTTTAAACACGCAAGAGTCAGTATATCAAAAATTGCAAAGCTATCTTCATGTGCAGGTAGTCAGATTTGCATCAGGACCTGTGCTACATGCAACCATGATGGCCATAAACCACATTTTTTTTTTTGGCTAATGAATTACTTCAGAGAAGCCACCAAAAACATGCCTGTGATAATTTGAGCAGATCCTTATTCCATTATAGTCACAATACCCCTGGATGCCCTTAGAAGCTTTTCAGATAAAGGGCTTCATTTTCTTATTTTTTATGATCACTGTGTGCTTTAAGCATCAGTAAACCCCTTAGTCTAGCCAGAGGGCTTTAAAATAGGTCCCTTTTATACAGAAAGGATTAATTTTAGAGTTAGAGGACTAATCTCTGTCCTCTCTTACTGAAAGCCAAAGTTACTCTGTATTTTACACTTTCAGGCACTTTTTGTAATAAATAGCAGTAGGAAAATTCCACGAAGAAAAAAGTAGATCTTTCTAATAGATACATTTGTGACTTTTGATTTTCATTCCACTGGAATGGAATGAAAAATTTATGTGTTCCTATTAGAATAGAAATACGTAAAAGACCTGCAGGGGCCAGAGGGGCTTTTAGTGCACTACTTAGTTCATCAGAGGTTGATGCAGGGGAGGCAGTGCTGGCTGGAGAAAACCGACAAGGCAGGCTCACCCTCTGCTGCATCCTACAAGGGCAGTCCGTGGGGAGCACCGCTAGAGGAGCTAATGCTGAAACCAAACCTGCAGAGAGCTCCTTTTTGCACCACCTTGGGGTCTGCAGGTGGTGTTGGAAGGACACGTTGTGTCCGTTCTTAAGCTATGAACTATTCAGTGCTTCTGGGTTTCTCTTGTCCACTGCCTAGCCTCAGAGAACTTCTTGCTTCTCTCTCCACGCACTGCATGGCACCAGCACTTGCACATGCCGTATTCATTTCAGATACCTATTTCCACTGCATGGTGTGGTAATACTACAGGTAATCTTCTGATGGGCTATTCTTTGACACTACCACTTTTTAACATACATTAGTGTGGAACTAACTGAAAGTAGGAAAAAAGTAAAATAACACAATAGGATCTGTGTCTGACATCAAAATGCACTAAAACCTAACACTCTCGCGTTAAACTTTAAGGGAAACTGACAGGTGAAATATATGTAAGAAGATTTCCACTCATCTGTATTAAGTGCCCTCTTAGAATATTTAAGGCAACTTCATTTGTTTTCGCTCCATCAAAAACCAACCCTGTGCTCTAAGCTTTTATGTAACCTCATGTGCACAAATAGATGAACTTTTAAAATCTGTTGTCCAGTGCTTTTCAAGTAAAATCACTCCTTTTTTCAATATTGTATCATCAGCTGATAAACAAACAAAATTTTTAATAATGCATGCAGACAGACTTCATAGATTTCTTGCTTTCTAAAGCCACTTTTTCATCTTTTCATTTGTGCATTTAGAAATGCTGTACCACCTTGAAGTGGATGTCAAAATCTAAAAGCAAATTTTGATTAATTTTGGTAGAAATTTAAGTTCTGAGTGAGTTCCACTGAATTCAGTGGAGCTATTAATGATTTCAACTGGAGAAAATAGGATGAGAACATGGACTACAATATAAGCTTTCAAGACAGTCATTTTCCTCTCTTTAGGAAGGAAAGTATTTGTAACAGAAAAAAAAAAATCTTGCATAGAGCTAACAGGTTCATTAGCTTCACAAAGCCCAGAAAAAAAACATTTCAAACTCCAAAGAAGGTTGTAAATTCTTTAAAACAGTAAAAATGCCAAGCAAGTGAATCTTCCTACCTTTGATCTGTATGAAGGCAAGTGCTAGTATTGATATCCATAGTGGTATTTGCGTCCCACCACCTGTACCCATCTTCTGGAAGTCCGGTAGAAACTACCGAACAACCTGCCTCTGAAGAAATACCCGTCTGTTCCCAAGTCTTATATAGTGAGAGTAGGTTTTGGCTCGGTTCCCAGATTGTTTCACAAGGTTCTTAAAAGGTGGGGCTTCAGACATTTTATTTTTCCTTTGCAGGTGCAGAGGTAAATAGAGGATGCTCTGACATTCCCTCAGTATTTGCACTCTAGGAGGAGTCTTTTCTGCAGGTCTTTTTGACGAAGTGTGGAGAAGTGAGCAGGAAGAATTTTTGCTCAGGCTTAGTCTTCCCAAGCTCTTACATATTATCGGATAAATAAAATTGGAGGGACTTCTAAGTGACTTTTGAGCAGGAGCTTGGAATTAATTATTTCACTCTTTTTTTTTTTATTTTTTTTATTTTCCTCCTTATGGTAAATGATGGCAATTTAACTTCTCAAAAAACCCAAGGAAGTTCCATCTGACAAATCGTTTTAAATGAGTTTTGCACCTGTCTGTGTAGCTACTATACCTGTGAAAATGCAGAAATCAGACACTATCTAAGGTCAGCATTTATCCACAGGCCAGGCGCAACACAGAGTTATGCAGTGAAAATCCTTCAGCACTGGATAGTCAATGATATGCACCTTTACTTAAGTTATTCTTTTTCTCACATGGGCAGTCTTAGTGCTACTTCAGCTGTTTCCTGGTGTTATTTAACCATAAAAAACTAGATTCATTCTATCTACAATGAAAAAAATGTATTTTCTTGGTCATTGCTGTTTCTAGAGACACAAAAAGACTGATTTGCAGGAATGTCCTTTGGAATGCTCCTTATCTTAGGAAAAGTTAGAGAGTGAACAATGTTTTATGAATATGGTAATATATTTATTTACAACTATATTACCTTTGTGAATTAACCTTTTATAGTATGTTACCCTGGGCTGTAGAGAAACACAGTCTTTCAGTGGAAGAACAGATCCCATAATCTCACATGGTATCAAACATTTCCTGCAAAGATAGTCTCCATATTCTCTGGCAAAAGGACAAGACAAAATTAGGTTTAAACTGGAAATGAAGTTTAGGTTAGCCATTTGGGAGAAAACTTCTTTTTGCAAGGATGGTGAATTATTCATATAGGTTGCCCAAGAAGATTGTCCATCTTAAGAATAGGTTAGAAAAACTACCTGAGAATTGTGTAAGTGCTGTTGATAGTACCCTGGGACAGGGGGATAGAGAAACTAAATGGTCATTTGGAATTCCTTCAAATGTGATTTTCTATGATTATTTTCTGAAAAATAATATGTATTCTCTCCATTGGAGCAGTTCTATTTGAGGAAGTAACTTCAACATTGAGAGAAATAAAATGCATATTTTTCCCCTAAGCAGTAAAGAGAATCAAGAAAAGATGCTCTCTTTCCTGAACATTTTTGGTTCAGGAAATTGAGAATTGGTTATTAATATTTAAATAAAATTGATATAACTAAATAAAATTGGAAGTGTTGAGGAAGAGAACTGGTCAGTTTCAGTTATGAGTTATACTTCTGGCAACTCCATTGACATATAAGTCTGTAGAATTTAACTTGCTATTTTTTGATGTTGAAAGATGACTACAAGATACTTGCATATGCAGAAATACATGCAGTGAAAATTTAAGGGAAAAGTTACTACCTCTAACAGTTATTATTAAAGTTCCAGGATGAAGACCTGGAAAAGAAAAATTTTAATGGATATAACTGATGCCTAAAGTAATTCTAAAATAATATGGTAAACTCAGCTGGGTAACAGACATAAGCTTATTAACTGATTCTGTGGTGAGAAGGAAAATATGCTCTGTGAATCATTACATTGCTTGCCACTGAAAAATCAGTTCATATCAATAGTTGCTATGCTGAGGTTTTATATACACAGGTTAACATTTCGTGCATGTTCAGGGAAGTACTGTGACCTCTCAAAGATCCCATTTTGGTCGCTAGTGATGAGTCCCTTTGTATGGCCATCACAAATAAGGCTGAAACTGGTTTAGAGTTGAATTTAATCCCTTTGGCTGAGCTTTAAGACACCATTAGAAGTGATTCCCTATATCTGCATTTATGGCTGAAAATCTCAAGTCTCTTCTATGTTGTGGATCTCATTATCCTTACACTCAATTGCGAGTTTGGTTACTTCATTGATTAATCCACTTGCTATGTTAACTTCCATTATTGTGTCCTGATTCTTTTTAGAAATTATTATAAAATGTGTCAAAATATGACTTGCAAAACTGATTTCCATATATTTATGATAAATCAATTTAGTAGTATTGCTAATTATTCAAAGAAGTAATTCCTTTTCAAATTGTATTTCACCCCATTCACTGAATAGACCTACACCAGTGACTTGGGAGAGTATTTTTTTAAGATTGAAGTAACATGTCCATGTTTGTGTAACTGTTTATGATTAAGCCAGTGTACAGTCAACTGCATAAGCAGAAGTATAAATATATTAGAAGAATTTATTGATGTATGTATTTATTTATGTTAACTGAAAAGATAAATGATTCTGACATTGCATTTGATTTGAAAACCCTGACCCTTCTTTCTATAGCTCCTCTTTCTTTTTCATGGGATGGTATTCCTTCTCTCTGTGTCTGCAACATTAAATTGAATGAAACCTTTTAGTAAAAACTTGTTACCATTTTCAGATCCATTCTTTTTAATCCTACATGGTCTTTCCATGGTGATGTTATTATTCATCCATCTTACTCATAATTTCTGAATCTGGATCTTCATAGTAACAAATGAGACCATCATATCTTCATACATCCTCTATGTAGAATGCAAATAAAGTATCATAGCAAATCCGGTTAACTTTCAGGTGCAGTAATGATTGAAATTAGTATCTCCATTTATATTGCTGCAAGACAGAATGATGGACTCATAGAGGCACGCAGAAGGTGTCTAGTCCACCTAGTGCTATCCTGGAGTAGCTTAATTTTGAATGAAGGGCAAAAACATTTGTAAATGATAGA